TTAAGACTCCAAGTCTAGCTCTCTCTTCACTACAACATCCTACCAAGCAAAGGATGATTGAAAAGGAGAAAAGGAAACAACGAGGAGAAATTTGAGGAGAAGAGGAGGATCAGAGGAAGCTTCATGGAGGAGGTACCACCTGAGCTAAGTCTTATTAGAGAAAGAGAAGGACTTCACCAGGTAGAGATTAGGAGAGCGAATTCTGGGCAAGGAGATAGGAGACTGTGGGCTGTGTGAATTCATAGAGGCAGGAAAGCACAAGACAAAATCAGAGAACAGCAAGTAATTTCATTTGGCTGGGACACACAGTGCATGAAATGGAGTAAAGTAAAATTCTCCTGGAAAAGTTGCTTAGAGCCAGGTGGTAGAGGGCCTTAAATACTCACTCTGGGAATGTGTGTTTTGTCCCCTGGCCAAGGACAAGCCACCCAAGGCTGTGAAAAGGTGAGACACACTTTAGGAAGATTATTGAGGAGAGAGGGTGGTACATGCTAGTAATCTCTCCTACTGGGGTGGCTGAGACTGGTGGATCATTTGAGCTGGGAAGTCTGAGCCTTGATAGGGCTAAAGCCGATCTGGGGTCTGTACTGTGTGGCACCGATAAGGTGAGTCCCTGGGTATGGGCCACTGGGCTGTCTGAGAAGTAAACCAGCCCAGGTCAGTGGGAAACAGAGCAGATCAAAGTTTCTGTGCAGATCAGCATGAGGATTGGGCCTTGAGTAACTGCTGAATTTCCAGCCTGGGAGGGACCACCTCCAGTGTCCAAAGAGAGTTAGGTTATTTTAGCACTCGGGTAAAAAATAGATTGGAACAGAGAGGAGAGACGAGGCAGGAAGACCAATTAGGGAGCAATTATAATTGGGCAAGCAAGAGGCGATCAGGGTCCGGAACGGTATGGGAGCTACATGAGGGTAAAGGTGGGAACGGATGAGAGCAATAGAGAAGGTAACGTTAGCAGGACTTAGTCAATCATTCACTCACTTACTCCAACCGTTCATTCATTCATTCCCTCACTTGCCCACTTTCACACCCATGCACTCATTCATTGGCTCAGTCATTCATTTCCTGGTTCAGCCTGTTGGTCAAGTCAGTCTTTTACTGAGTCAGTAAATCAGTCACGGGTTCCTGGACTATATCCTGTGTACCCAGTGAACAGGTCCCTTCCTGCAAGAATGGTTCTTTACTATGTAGGCCGGGCCTACTCCATGCTGCTGAGGGTACTGATTCCCCTGGGAGGGAGGCTGAAATAGATGGTAGAGTGAGGGGTTTATGGGGTGGGGAGCACTAGTAAAATCCTGAGGTTCACATATATCCCATTTACCCATTCCTTCCACCCTCCTCTTGGGCTTCCCTAAAGGTTCACTCTGGGAGGGTGATGTCGCCTTTGGGGGTAACACTCTAAGAATGCCTCACCAGAGCCCCTGGATGCCAAATTCCTGAGGATTGGCCCTCAGCTGAGCACTTTCAAGGGACAATCTTACAAATGGGTCAGTGGGCTTGCATGGGAGCAGGGTGGGGGGAAGCGGGGCTGGCAGGAGTGATGCTCATTCACAAAGGCTATTCATGAGATAAGAGTTGAGCACTTTGGAGCTCTTCACATCCTGGTGGAGGATGGAGTGGTCTGGAGGCAATCACCTAAGAATAGAATCATGGATGCATAGCTGAAACGGACCAGAGAAATCATCCAGTCTGAACCCTCTAGTTAACAGGGTTAGTCAAGTCAGTTCTTTACTGAGTTAATCAGTCACGGAGGAAACTGAAGCTTGGAAAAGTGATTTCCAAAAGATCACAGAGAGACAGCTAGGTGGCACAGTGGATAGAGCACCGGCCCTAAGGTCAGGAGGACCTGAGTTCAAATCCGGCTTTAGACCAAACACTTGACACTTACTATCTGTGTGACCCTGGGCAAGTCACTTAACCCCAATTGCCTGGGGGAAAAAAAAAGATCACAGAAGTAGGAAGGAACTGAGATAAAATTTGAACTCAGGTCCTCTGATCCAGGGTTCTTCCCACTGAATATTGCTTTGGCAAAAGAGGCATTGTGGTTCCCTGTTGTTCTTCTGTAGCTGGTAGACTGGTGGGCTAGATGACCTCCAAGCCCAGAAAAGGTGGCATTATGGGAAGCAATATAGACAGTAACTCCAACAGGGGTATGTGTTCTCGTGTGTTTGGTGGGGGTAGGAGTCAGCAGAGCAGCCAATGATAGCATGAGAAGCAGCAGTTCAGCCTGAAAATATCAACCAGTTGTGTAATGGAAGAGACCCTGGGGCCAGCACCTGCCTTGGTGAAATTAGAGATGGGGAGAGTGGGAGTGAGTGGGCTACATTGTCATCCCATTTAGGAGTGCCAGCTCCAGGAACCCCACTGACATTTGTGGCAATTAGTAATATTGGCCACCAAGGTCAGGGGGGCAGGGGTGGGGGTGGGGATTGTGGCAAGCCAGCAGTGGAATTAGAGCTCAGATCTCCTTAAATTGCTGGTACTCCCAGGTGAATGAGCCAGGAGGTAAGCCTAGGGGATCCCATGGCAGGGACATCTGGAGGTACAAGGACTGCACCCCCGACCCCCACCCCACAGGAGGTCCTCAGACCTAACTGAATAACCCAAGCCTCGCCCTTGGATTAATGAGCATGCCTTTGAAAGCCTCTTGGAGTGGTATTCATTATGCATTTCTGTAAGGCAATAAAAGCACCTACCTATATTATGAAGCATGAATGTTTCTTTTGAGTCAGATTAGATAGGCTCCTTCCTAAAATGCCTTCCATCCTAAGAATAAAGCTAGACAGAGATCTTTGAGATTTGTCTTCCCAGAATGAGGTCAGTGAAAATTGGACAACTGAATAAGCTATGTCCTGGTCTCAAAGGAATTTTATTTTTTAACCTGGGGCAAAAACACCCAGAAGGATAGAATGACTATAATAATAAAAACGTAAAGAACAATACAACATAGCCAAATGCCATGTAACTATAATAACTATTTTTGGCCTCTGGGAAGAGATGAGGAAATGCATTTCTCTCCTTTCCTTGGAATGGTAGAAGACCACAGGTTTAGAATGTTGCAAATGTCAGATGGGGTTGTTGGGTTCATTGGTTTTGCTTAATGGGGGGTGAAGTGGAGGAGAGAGGAGGGTAGGTATATATCCAGAAATGACTGTGATATTAAAGAAAAAGGCATCAATAAACAATTGGGGGATGGGAAGTGGTGGTGGTACAGACTAATAATATCTAGCATTTACAGATATCTCATTTGATACAATGCTGGGAAGAAAGTGCTATTATTCCAAATTTACAGATGAGAAAACTGAGAGAGTTAAATTTTCTTGCCCAAGGCCATACAACTAATCAGTGTTTGAGATAAGATCTGAACTCAGTTCTTCCTGACTCCAGATCTAGTGCTCTATCCACTGCACCACCTAGCTACCTAAGACAGCTTTTATGTGTGTGCAATTATACCAGGAGAGGGAGGTCACTAACCCTGGTCCCCAGAAGTTACAGAGCAGTGGAGAGCCTTGAATCAAGGCTCAGAAACAGTGGTCTGCATGGGAAGGAAATGCAACCTTCAGGGGATAAAGGAAGCACACCCCTGTGGATGTCACTCCCCTATGGCAAAGCCCTGTAGGCTCCATGTTCATCCTGGTTTGCCCCCAGCCAGGGAGGGACACATCTCCATCCGATCAGGATGGATCACATGCCAGCTGTGTCTGGGGTTGTGGCAGGGAATGGGCTGGGAAATCATTCCTGAGTGTCCCCGGTACAGCCTGGGGCTGGACATTAGAGATAGTCAGAGGGAAACAGGTGTGGTCCCTGCCCTGGGTGGGGGCTTCTTTGATGGTGGAGACCCTGTCCTCAGGGTGCTCCCCAGTCTGAGAAGGGAGACACAGCCCCTTAGGGTACAAAGATATGGAAAGAGGTGTGGACAAAGTAGTGACAATGCTCAGAACAGAGAAAGGTGCACGGAAGAAATAACTGGATTGTACACTTTGGACTCCCCTCTTTTCTTTCTGACTGTTCCTTCTGTAGCTCCTGGCCCTCCCCCTTTGTCTTCAGCCCCTTCCCCTCTCCCTCCTTCCTCTCCTCTTCCTTTTCCCTTCCTCTCCCTCCCTTTTCTCTTCTTTCTCCCTCCCTCTCTCCTTTTCTTTCCTGCCCTTTCTCCTCTCTCCTTCTCTTTCCTCTCTCTCCCTCTCTCCTGTTTTCTCTGTCTCAGTGTTTTCTCTCTGTCTCTCTTTCCCTCCCTTCCTCCCTTCCAGAGACCCCATCCATTCTTACAGCCTCAACTTTCACCTGGAATCACACAATCTTAGAACATAAAATTCCAGCTTTCTCATTTTACAGATGCACAAACAGGTTTTTACACAAATCGTTTTGACATCGCCACCCTCATTTGCCTGCCTCATTTGCCGGGACACAGGGAATACAGGAGGAGGAAAGTTTATCTCCTAACTCTCTATCTCTAGCTGGCTCCAGACCATGCTTTACCTCCATTCCCCACCCCTACTTCCTACTTCTTGTTCCGAGAATAGTAATCAGACCAATGGTACCCCCCTTGCTTCTGTAAAGAGTGTGAGAATAAACTGCCCTGGATCTCCACCTGCCGTGCTTGGGACTCCCCAGAGCCAAACCTCTCACCCGCCCCCCCGGCCACCTAGGTATCGTCTCCTCCTATTAGAATCCAAATTTCTTGAGCACACTTTTACATTTTAGTGTGTCCAACACATATTAGGCATTAAAAAATGTTTTTTTAAAAATCCATTCACTCCTCTGGTCCAATGCATACCTGAATAGTAATCCCCACTATACCATCTTAGACTAGGGCTCGTCCAGTCTCTGCTCCAGAGACAGGGAGCTCACTACCTCTGAAAACTCCTCATGCAGATGGCTCCAAAATCCCATATCTTCAGCTCCGACCTCTCTCCCAAGCGCCAGTCCTGTGCACCACTCGGGGGTTTTGGCTGAGATATTCCACTTGCCCTCAAATTTACCAGACTGGAAACCAAACTCACCTTCCTCCTTTCTGTGCCAGCTCTATCTCCTGATCTCCCAGTTTCTGTCGATGGCTCCACTGTCCTCTCCACCACCCAGCCAAGGTCCGAAACCTCTAGCTCCTTTCTGGCTGGTTCTTCTCCTTCTCCTTTTTACAGCCTTGCTGCCAGTCAGTTCCTGGATCCTCTCTAAGCATCTTTTGTCATCTCTGTCTTCAGTTCTTCTTGCCATCTCTACCACCCTATGCTAAGTGCTTTACAAATATTATCTTATTTCATTCTCACAGCAACCCTGGGAGGTAGGTGCTATTATTATCCCCATTTTATAATTGAGATAACTAAGGCAAACAGTGGCTTGCCTAAAGGGCAAGGTAGTAGGTGTCTGCTTCAGTGAAAAGCACCTGACTGTTGGGGTGTCTGAAGACCTAAGTACTGGTCTCCCTGTCTGCCCTTATATGGTTGTGTGGCCTTGGGGCAAGCCATAGACTCTCTGGACACCATCTAGAAAATAATGGCGTTGGACCAGTTTCTTCCAGCTCAATCCAGTGATTCCTGTCTAGACCTCAGTTTCCTCATCAGTCAAATGAAAGAGTTGTGGTATAGATTTCAAGCTTCCCTTCTGGTCCTGACAATCAAGAACCTTGTATCTGACCTCCATTTCATCTTACCTGATCCATAATAACAACCTATGAGGCAGTCTCGGTGTTGAGATGACCTTGGTCCCCATCCCCTTTCATCCTGGTTGTTCCACCCTGGGCAGATAGATGACTTCACATCTCAGTGTCCCAAAGAACACTCTAAGACCACAAAGTGAACAAAGAGTAGCACTGATTTGCAATGGTGAAGGAAGTCATTTCACTGGGAATTCTCTGTGCCAATGAAATCACAGATTCAGTTGGAGAGGAAAAAAGATTTGAACAGCTTAGTATCCTAGATTTAGAGCTGGGAGGTACATTAGAGGCCACTGAGGCCAACTGACTCCAACTGAGTCCAACTAGCAAGTGTAAGAGGCTGGATTTGAGTCTGTCTTGACTGCAGACTCAGGACCTTACCCACTACCCCACCCTGGCTCTCAGCACAGCTGTGCAACTGGAGGGGGTGTTAGACACTGTCTAGTCCAACCTCTCATTTTATGCCTGAAGCCCAAGGGCTTCAAAGACTCTGACTGCAGAGTTAACACTCTTTGCACTTCTTAACCTGCCTCTGCTTTTATTCCTTCCTCTCCCACCTTCGATCCATCCTACATAGTTTGCCTCTTCCCAGGCATGGAAGCACACTAGGAAAAGCACTATGGGTATGCTAGAAGGCAGGAGACACCTGGAGTTGAATTCCAGCTTCATCCACTTACTAGTTGCATGATCCTGGGCAAATCACTTCTCCCTGGGTTTCTAGTCTTGTGATCTGTAAAATGGGGACAATAATTGTATTATGTGCCATAGTGGATTATGAAGAGGAAAAGTAACTTATGAATGTTAGTGTGCTATTGAAATGGGACTTATCTATTGAAGCAGATAGAACTCAAGGCCTGGAGCCAGGAAGCCCTGGGTTCAAATCCAGCATCAGACATTTACTAGCTTGCCCTTTGGGCAAGTCATTGTTTGCCTTAGTTATCTCAACTATAAAATGGGGATAATAATAGCATCTACCTTCCAGGGTTGCTGTGAGGATCAAATAAGATAATATTAGTAAAGCACTTAGCATAGGGCCTCACACATAGTTGGTGCAACATAAATGCTAGCTATTACTGTGTGTCATTATTTTTATTATTACTCATCCAGGTCAGCTTTAGGGAATGAAAAGTCAGTAGATTCCAGCCTCTTCCCAGAAAGAGAAAGAAGTAGCAGGGTGTAGGAACTCTCCCACATTCTATATAATGCCAATCAATCAACCAGCATTTATTAAGCAACTACTGTGTGTCAGACACTACTGCATTGGGTGCTAGGGATTTGTTCTTTAGTCATTTTAGTTGTGTCCAACTCTTTGTGAGCTCTTTTGGGGCTGAATTAGTTTGCCATTTCCTTCTCCAGCTCTTTGTACAGATGAGGAACCTGAGGCAAACAGGGTTAAGTGACTTGCCCAAGGTCATACCGCTAGTGTCTGAGGCTGAATTTGAACTCAGGTCTTCTAGACTCCTGGATGAAGCACTCTATCCACTGCACCACCTAGCTGCTCTCTGGATGCTAGAAATACAGAGGCAGAAAAAGAAACTATCTCTCAAGTAACTCACATTCTGGGACTGGGGCAAGGTAGCAGGAGGGAGCATCAGGTGCATAAATCCATATACACAAGATAAACATAAGGCAATCCTCTTTGTCTTTCTTTGGTCCCCATCCTCAATCAGTGACTGCCCCAAGTAGCAGCCAGGGAGGTCCCTCCCAGGGACAGCTCAGCCCAAGGCAGCCCTCTGGAAGTAGATCAGGTAAGATGAATCAGGTGATGCTCTGTTCCCTCTGAGACCAATACCCAGGGCCTTGGAATGGAATGTTACTGATGGCTCAGGGGTTAGTCCTCTCCAGACTGGCTGGAGACTTCCTCTACTTCCCAAACCAAACAGAGTCTTTGGCCAAATCCGGCCTCCAGCCAACTGGTCACCAAGCTGCAGTTTGTCCTGGCAAGGGAGGTCCTGGACGCTCAGAGCAGAGCAGACTCTGCAGAAGGTGTGAGCTAGGCTAGGAAGGCCGTCAGGTTTCACCTAGTCAATGTTATCAATTTTACTGTGACAAGGTCATTTAACCTCCACGTGGTCCAGGCAAGCTGAAATTGCAAGCACTCCCTTCACTGGGACTTCCCATACCAAAGAAATAATAGCTAAATCCCCACCCCTGCTCCCACAAATTCTAACTTGGGATCACAGTCATAGACCTGGAAGGAAACTTAGAGACCATCTGGTCCAACCCCCTCGTTTTACACCTGAGGAAACTGAGGCCTAGAGACACGAAGTGAATGACTTAGCCCAAATCACACAGTAGGGGGCAAAGCCAGGATTTGAACCTAGGTCCTCTGACTCCAAATTCTGTGCCCTTTCCACTTCTTAACCTAACTGGAGACCTGGAGAGGGTGAAGGACTTCCTGCAAGCTGAGTCTCCACATTTGCTGGCAGGTACTTCCACCTTCGGCTCCCCAGAAATGCCCTCTGCCCCTCCCCATCATGCACAAGCTAGGCAGTAAATAGAGTGCCTCTGGACTTGGGTGGTCAGGAATAGCTGAGTTCAAATCTTCTGGCAGATATTTACTAGCTGTGTGATCCTGTGCAAGTGACTTAGCTTCCCAGACTTAGTTTCTTCAGCTGTAAATTGGGGATAATGAAAAAGGTAGATAGGCAGCTAGGTGGTGAAGTGGACTCTGGGCAAGTCACTTCATCCCCATTGTGCCTCCAAAATAAATAAATAAATAAATAAAAAGAGCCCTGGGCCTGGAGTCAGGAAGACGAGTTCAAAATTCGCCTCAGATACTTATTAGCTGTGTGACCCTGTGCAAGTCACTTAACCCCGTTTGCCTCAGTTTTCTCATCTGTAAAATGAACTGGAGAAGAAAATGGCAAACCACTCTATTATCTTTGCCAAGAAAACTCCCAAATGGGGTCAGGAAGAGTCAGACAAGACTGAACAGCAACAAAGATGGAAGGAGACAGACTGTCCTATAAATGTTTGGTTATTATAATTGTTACCAAACATTCCTAGATGAACCTTTTCTCCCTATGGAAGCTTAAGGAAGCCCTTTGTTTCACGTGCAGCTAGCAAACACCACCATGTGGGCAGAAAGGGGTTAAATTTTCTCTTCTTTTAAAAAATACACCCCGAACCCTAGTGGGAACGGGGCTCCCAATGATTGGCTTTTTCCTGAGAAAGTTCCGCCCAGGGGGCGGGCCAGGACTCCCATACAGTCCTGACTCGGGCACAGAATTGGGTTTTGTTTGTGTGGGGAGGACGCCGGGAACATTAGAGCAGGAAAGCAAATGAGAGACCACCTAGTTCCCCCCACCCCCTTTGTACAGATGGAGAAACTGAGCCCCAGCGAGAGCAAGGGGCTTGACTAGGTTCATCATACAGTCCCTCGAGTGTCGAAGCTGGGACTCAAAGCCATCTCTTTAGGAACTCTAGGAGTCCGCCCCGACACCCCTGCAGCCTCTTTGCTACCTGGCCCCGCTCTAGTTCAGTTGTCCCCCAAGAATCTGGGCTCTTGTCCTGCTGCCTGCCCCCTCCCCCTTAGAGGATTCTCTCCTCACCCACGATCCTCCAGGCCCCCCGGCCTAAGGAATTCCTTTGTCCCTCTGGTTGCTAGGAGCTGAGACTTGGAATCCCTCTCCCTCACTCAGCTTCTCTTCTCCCCTCCCCTTTCTCCCTCCCTCCCCCGCCCCAGGGCCTCCGAGACTGTGGGGTCTGGACTCGTTGGCAAGGTCAGCCACAGAAATCCAGGGCTGAGAGATGAATTAACTCAGTGAGACGGTGAATGTAAAGCACGTTGTGAAGCTGGCCGAGAGATTTCCCGGGTCTGGTGTCAGGAGTCATTGGTGTGTGCCTGCAGCCACACTTCAGAACGAACCGTGTGATTCTGGGAAACTTCTTTCCCTATCTGAACCTGTTTCCTCATCGAAAAGAATCAGCGGTTATGTTTAATAGGAATGTATATATAGAGCCTATGTCAGATTGCACCCTGTCTTAGGGGAGGGAGGGGGAGAAAATTTAAAATTCAAAAGCTTATGAAAGTGATTGTTGAAAACTTAAAATAAATTAATTTATTTTAAAAAAGAAAAGAATCAGTGTGTCATACACACACACACATGCAGGAGCGCGGGCAGGTTGGATATATTCAGTGGGTCAATAATCATTTCAGACTGGGTTCATTTTCATGCAAGGGAAAAAGCACTGAACCAGGAGTCAGACAAATCCTTAGCTCTTCCCGGGTTCACTGTGAGCCTAGTAATTCATTCTTTCCCCTTCTACTCCTCTATGCAGCAGGTTTGGTCTCTAAGACCACCCCCCTCCCCATGCCCTGTGGCTCCCAGCCCTATAATGATCCTATAAGGAAATGTCAAAGACGTTTCTCCCTGAAGCATCCCACCCCTCCAGTAGGAATAGGGCACATAGGCTCCTCACCCCTTAAACCGTAGCTTTGGGAAGGTGAAGGCCAGAAAGGAAATTGGGGTACAGGAAGGAATATTGTTTGACCTCCCACTCAAACCCTGGGAAGGTTAAGTGGGAGATTTGCCTTCCCAGGCCAGCAGCCCCTAGGGCACCAGGAATCTGGTTCTGTGCCCACCTCCAGCCACC